TATCCCCCTTTCCATCCTTCACTACATTTTGTGTTACTTTGTGGTTCACTATCCACCTTTTCTGTTGCTATCCCCCTTTCCATCCTTCACTACATTTTGTGTTACTTTGTGGTTCACTATCCACCTTTTCTGTTGCTATCCCCCTTTCTCTACTTTTGGCCCAAGATCCAAATATCCAATAGATACGGTACTACTTAACAAAATAAGACTTGTCAACAAAAGAATACCTATATGAAGATGTAAGTATGCTATAAAAGATAGTCTGTTCGTGCTCTCGACAGCCTAAGATCCAGGTAGCAAGCAAGTACGAGAGACGTATTGACAGACGAACGTACGGCGACAAGAGGGAGCTGTTTGATGGGGTAGGTTTTGGTTTTGTTACTTACACGTTTACTAAGCATCTCAATATAGTCTAAATTCCTGTAATTACTTGAAATATATCAAAGTTGGACAAAAAGTTCAAGATGTGCCATAGATCTTTATAACATTGATGTTTGTTTCGTTATGGTTGTATCGCGTATTATTCCTGTTCTGTTACTAATTCTAGTTACCAATCTTGGCTGTATAACTAAAATAATATAAATACTAGAATTATGAAAGATCCAGTTTATTCATAGTGGTCAAGTAAATAATTAAATAAATACAAAAAACAAAACAAGAGATATTTTCAATTCCCTCCAAGATTGACCAGTTTTATCAAATGGAATGAGGATAAAGAGGAAAATATAAAAAGTTGCAACTTCGTTTGGGGTGCCCCCTAGTGGCACATCGGACTTACAACGTTAGAAACCGGGTTTCGATACCCATGGTGGGCAGAGCACAGATAGCCCATTGTGTAGCTTTGTGCTTAATTACAAACAAACAAATCGTTTGGGCTACTCAGTAAAAAAAGCCCTAATAAGAGATTTCAGACGTAGCTATCTCTTAATCATTTAGACTCCAAAGTTTTCCAAATATATAGTGTTGCGTGATTTAACTGCGTGGAAACTTTAAGAACTCTGTATTATTAACAAATATATTAAATAATTGTTTTTATTCCTTATGTGTACTTGGTAAATTATTTTAATTAGAATAAAAACCGATTGTTTGTTTGTTTTTTTAAGTATGCACAAAGCTACAGAAGGGCTATCTGTGCTCTGCCTACCACGGGTATCGAAACCCGGTTTCTAGCGTTGTAAGTCCGCAGACATACCGCTGTGCCACTAGAAGGCAATAAAAACTGAATAAATAAAGAGGATTATAATGGTAAAACTTAAACTAAAACCGAACAATGCATAGTGAATGAAGACCCTAAACATTATTGTTATAGTCCAAACCTTGTGTCTTTACGAACTACACATGATACAATAATTATGTGTTGTTGTTTTTTTCTTTTATTTATCAACTAAAGCATGAGAAGAATTACTTATAATGTTACTAAACTTTTGTTAAAATGATTGCATATATGTGTTAAGGATTTATTTTACTATCTGGTAAAGTAAAACAGACTCAAAAACCCCATAGATATATTTTTAATGATGTGAAATACATAATGAATACAATTAATGTATTAAATCATTTATAGAGTAATTATCTCTAATATGTTTGTCTGCTTTTGTTTTTCATGTAATTGAAATATTTCGTTTACTTACGGTTATTTACAAGTGAAGTTTTACAAGATTAATATACTGATATGCACAGGAATTTAATTCAGAGGATGGTATTGATATATATTTTAAGTCTGTATAAATAACATGACATAAAAACTTAGACTTTTTAAAAAGTAGATCAACGATCGTACAGTTTCAATAAGAAGGAAAGTTACCTCATCCTAGAAAGACTGCTTGTTCCATGTTCAAATGTACTAGATTATTCTTTCAGTGATGACTTCTAGTAATTAGTATACCACTCTGGCTGACACAAATAGGGGTTGGAAAACTCTTACGAAGCCGAACTTGAGAGACAGTGGGAGGATAAAATGGCCACATTTAAGGATAGAGGACCACCTAAACTTCCCAAGTGGGACCCTTCCACTCCTAGGAACAAGGAGGTCGGTGCTCGTCGTCATGAAGAGGAAGAAGATGAGGATATTGAATTACACATGCCTTCCATACCTGAGCCGACACATGCTAAGCCTGCTGACGATGAAGAAGAGGAAGAAGAAGAAGAAGAAGATGAAGATGAAGAAGAGGAGGAGGAATAGTGTACAACGTTTAATGAAGAAAATGTTCATGGTTTGTGTAATTTAAACATTAAATAAAGCAAATT